GTTTAAATTCATCCCATGGAACTGTTCATAGACATCTACAACAAATCGGAAAAGTTTCAAAGCTAGGAAAATGGATACCACATGAACTGTCAATAGCTAACTGACAACAACGTCAACTCCTCAATTCAAAAGCTTCAACTGGGAAATTTTACCTCGTCCACCATATTTGCCAGATATTGCTCCCAGTGATGATCATCTTTTTCGGAGTTTGCAGAATTTTTTAAAGGAAAAACTTTTGAGGATGAGAACAATGTAAAAAAAGGCTATTTCTGAATATTTTGATTCAAGACCGAAATCATTTTACAAAGACGGGATTAAAAAGCTATCATCAAGATGGCAAGAAATTGTACAAAATAATGGTGAATACATTATAGATTGAAATAAGATTTAATTAAAATTTTTTGTTGCTTTTTTTGTAGATAAAAATGCGCAACAACTTATGGACTGACCTGATATAATAAAAATAACCTTTATATGATGGTTATAACAACATGTAGATTCTTTTTTCAGAATTCTCAATTTAAAGTGAACTGTTTTGTAATTCTAGAACATTATTCAGCATTTATGAATAATTTATAAATTGTTTGTTAATATTGTTTTAAGTACATAATATAAACTAATGAAAGTAAACAAAATTCATTTAGGATGATCAAAAGTGATAGGTTTTTCAAACATTCTTGAAAAAAACCTTCCATGTAGGCAGGTAGTGATGACCTAGATTGGCAGCACTGAATGGTTCAAACTATCTTGCACTTGTGCACCATTTTGTGTTGCATTTCCAAATGGGATGGTTAGAAAAGGTTAGAAAAATGATCTTGTGAAGAAGTCATAGTAAATATCTAATTTTATTTTTATGGTCCAAAAAGATTCTACCAGATGAAATTCATTGTCCTCTTAAGGTCTAAAGTAACAATGTCATGTCCCATCAAGATGTTGCAGAAAGTTTGTAAGTGAATGAAAAAATGTGAATGAACCCATAGTGTGTCCAAGCTGCTTAATAACAGAATTCATTGTAGAATTGATGAACTGGTTGAGGATGATAGGCACATCATTTTGTGGCAAATAACCTTTCAGATTATTATTATTATTACAAGTGATATGTGGCTCCATTTCATATCCATATGAAAGGCTAACTCTATGGAATGAAAATGAAATGTTCTCTTTGCCAAGAACATTGAAGTATGAAGTGAGTGGGGCTGTAGCAACAGAAACAAGAAAAATTTTTTTGCTGATGGGATGAACAATTTGGTTATTTTATGATAAATGCCTGAACAAGTTGGACAAGTTTGAGATATGCAGGATTTATCTGAAAGCAATATTCTATTTTCATTTTCCATAATAGTGTGTTGTTGGCTTTGTAAAATTACTTTTTGGTCACCCCATATATGGTTATAGTACGCATCTTATTGTCATAATTGTTCTTGTCCAAAGGTGGCCTTTAAAACTTTCTTGAAAACCAAACCACATTAATTTGATTGTTTTCCATAAATTAAAATAATAATCAAATAAGTAGAGGCAGAAAAATTGTTTTAATGTATAAGTGCAATAAAAAGCATGTTGGGAATATGGTAATCTTGTTGTAAATTTAAATGTAATTTGGCTGTTACAAATTGTACTGTTTTATTACAGAATAATTTGTAAATGTATTCAGTAAAACAATCTTAAAAATGTTAGGAATAAAACTAACATTCTTTCATTTTAGGAAAATTTAAATTTCATAGTATTGTAAATATGATATTTGAAGCATATCAGCAACATTGATTGTTACAAATGTATATCTCATCTTTAATCATACATTTCTAGTTTACATTTTTTTATTCTTAAATTCAAAATGAAATACTCTTATTTTCCAGAAAAAAATTGATGGATTGCAGGTAATAATTCTTAATCATTGTGAATTTCCTTGATTTTGTTAGTTCACTGTCAACTTATTTGACATTCTTCTGTTTGCAGCATTGTATAAATTTCTCATTGACTTATTTTTAATCTATTTATCTTCATTCTATTTTTACTTATATCAAAGTTGATTTAATGATTATAATTGTGCATTTTTACAATAGATGCAATAGAATATGATTATAAATTTTAGTAATGTACATTGAAAGTATATCATAAATTTACATAGTGGTAGAATGAATTTTTAGAAAATCTTATAACAGTTACACTATACAGTGTTTTTGGAAATTTTGTAATATGAAAAAATTTAATTTAATGTTTTAGTTAAATGTAATGACAGATTTATAGGAAAATTATTTGAATTTTATTTTGTGAAATTTTCAAAAAAAAAAACTAACTTATATCTAGGTAAAGAGTCTCTACAGGCTGAAAAATCATGGTTGCAACAAGAAGCTGAACGCTGGGGACTTAGGTTTAATTTAGAAGGTAAGATTCATTTTATTTTGCACTTTTTTACAATGCAATCATGATCAGAAATTGAGACGACAACTTTTTTAAAACAGACTTTAGCAAAATAAATCTTGTACTTTAAAACAATGTTGCAGGAAATCAATATTACATAACTATCTTTTGTACTTTCAACAAAATTCTTAATGAATTCATTTTTAATGTTAATTGATAAAAATGAAATTCAGCATGAAAAATGCCTGTCAATATTTTTGATTCTTTTACAGATTTGAAAAGTTTTCAGTAATTTGAGCAAGAAAATCCATTCCATGTTTTAAACTTGCCTTACTAGGTGGCTAGCTAGTTATCACCTACATCATTGGTGTTCTGTATTCAAATCTGATTCAGACTCATTTATCATTTATTATTATTATTCATTTCTTTTGCTTGCATTATTGGAGATTTCGTGAAAATTGGGTTTTGCTATAGGTGCTGTGTGCTATGCTTCGCATTTATTGCCAACACCATCACTACTGCCTGTCATCACCATATTCAGCATTATTAGTTTCACACACTATCATTCACTGTTTTTTCCATCTTGTCTTCATTTCATAGCCAGTACACTTCCCATTATCAATTCTTCTCATTTTAATTGGGATTTGAAACCCAAGCTCTAGTAGGAAGAGTAAGGCAACAGCACCTTGCAATTTTAATCATATTATATCAGATATGTCTTTTTACTTATTAGTTCTCACTAATTAGCAAAAAAGATAATATTTGAATTACTAATCATGTTCAGTGAAGACTATTCATTTCTTGCTTCAAACATCAACAGAACATCTTTAAAGGTAATTGAATATCACTTTTGAATAGTCTGTAGAAACTGAACTTATTTTGTGAATCATTTCTAATTATAATATGGTAACTATATACTTATTGGGTTCAGAAAGTAATTTTGTTTTTTTTTACCACTAGTTGTATTTTTCCCACTGTTTTCGTTCTAAACTGTATTATCATTATATATTTTGACAGCTAGCATTTTAAGGCTTATTTGTAAAAAATTTTGTTTGATTTTGTGCAATTGTTTATTTTTTGTGTCCCATCAAATATGGAAGATAGAAAGGAGCATTTTCGGCATATTTTGCTTTTTTATTACCGAAAAGGTAAGAATGTTCAAGCGAGAAAAAAATTGTGAGACGTGTATGGAGAAGATTTATTGACAGAACGACAGTGCCAAAACTGGTTTACAAAATTTTATTCTGGCAATTTCAATATTGAAGATGCACCATGTTCTGGATGGCCAGTTGAAGCCAATGAAAACAAAATAAAGGCACTGATTGAAGCAAACTGCTGAATAACAACACGTGAAATCACTAAGAGATTAAATTTGTCAAATTAAACTGTTTATGATTACTTGAAACAAATTGGTTTTGTTTCAAAGCTTGATATATGGGTTCCACATGTCCTTAAAGAGAGATGCTCTCTTTGGTGGGATTTTAAGAAAATTTTTTTGAGCTTTTACCAGACGATTTAACAATTGATTTGAAAGTGTACTGCCATCAAGTAAACAAATTGAGTAATATCATCAAACAGAAAAGGCGGCCAGAATTGATCAACAAAACAGGTGTAGTGTTTTACCACAATAATGTCAAATTTCACACAAGTTTGGTAACTCGTCAGAAACTGTTATAACTTAGATGGGACGTGCTATCACACCAACCATATTCGCCAGATCGAGCACACTCAGATTATTACTTGTTCCGGTCTATACAAATTTTTTTTAACTGTAAGACATTTACTTGAAATGACAATGTCAAAAATCACTTGGATCAGTTTTTTGTAAGCAATGATCAAAACTTTTATGAATGTGAAATCATGCTACTACCAGAAACAATGACAACAGGTATTTGACCAAACTGGTCTATGTATAATTCAATAAAATATTTATTATAAAAATATTGTTTCTTTCCCATGGAAAAAACAAAATTACTTTCTGAGCAACCCAATATATTAAATATACATAGTATTTATTCTTTGCCTAAGGACTATATTATATTCTTTTTCTTCATATTGTTTAATTATAACAGCACACCAATTATTCTTAGATAGAAAATACTACTTAGCCTAGGATTACCTCCTACAGTTATTCCTGCTTTAAAAAAGTGTTTATGCCATTTCACTTTTACAAAAGACCTACATTAGTATTAGTTTTTGCTAACCAAAAGAAATCCAAAGAGGATTTTCACTTATGAAAAAAGATGTAAAGCAAAAGTTGCATTCAATTTGTTTTGCAATAAGCCATTTTAGAATTACTGTGCTGCCAAGCAGTAAGAGCATCTCAAAGTTTCTTCCTTGGTAACTACATTCAGCATCAAGCTGCCTTAGCTTTGAACTGTCTGTGAATATGTGTTTTATGTTTTATTTATTGTTCATCCTAGCAAAATGTGTCTTAATGTGCAAAAATCCTAAGAGGGCTATTAAGGATATTACTTAGTATAAAACTAGAATAACTGCTTCAGTCACGGTAAATGAAATGCACATTGTGCATATGTTGAAATTGCTTGCACTTGATATTTGTATTGTTTGTGCACAAAAAAGCTGCCAAAATTTCTATTGATTCTGCTAGTTACAAAGTGGTCTTTTTAATTGGCATTCAGTAATGGGTGAAATAGTGTTGCTTGAATAAATTGATTGATATACAAAGATGGTGCTAAGTTATCATTACTTAAAAAATCAGTCTTTCAATAAGCTAAAACAGAAAAAATAGATAATAGTAATGAAAGTATTACAAAATTGTAATTTAAAAGTGGTTACAGTTTATCAGTTTTTAGATGAGGACAGTTTTACAGCTTAAAGATTACTTATTAGAATATTTCTGGTGTAGTTTTCATTAGCTACACTGCACTTACATTTCTACTTTATGTAGGTTTTGTATTTATCATATTCCTGCTTTTACTATGTTAGTATTGTTGGTTGTCATTTAGTAAGTTAATTTTGAGTATAGGAACACCCAAAAAGCTTCCCCCATTATAAATTAATGGTGATCATTTCTTCGTTTTTATGCATTCCAGCTTACAAAAGTTTTCATAGGACTGCTTTATTTTTTGGTTAGCAGGGGAAACTGGTATACATATTAGAGAGCTGCCACCAGATGGTAGGAGGTTAAGGGAGCCACAAGTTACATAAGTTTGGGAACCACTGCAGTATAGTTTTATAAACTATACTACAGTAGTCTTGTTAAAAAAAGTAAAGTATTTAATTAAGGTTTAACTTAGAGAAATAATTACTCAAAGTTAATTTAACTCTTCTTTAAAAAAATTTAAAACAAATGTAGGAAGATGGGATTAATTTTTTAAATTTAAAATTAATTATATGGAGCTAAAATATTACAAGATAAATATAACATACATCACTGGCAAATGATTGACAAATTATAAGGAGTAAATTTTTGTTCAATTTGTGCTAGTGAAAATGAATGAATGATTTAAGATGACAAATTATCCAAATTATCTGTCTTGTATACTAAAAATATCTTACATAAGGTCAGGTTCTGCCCCTTACAAATTTTATTTTAATGTATTTCTTTTAGCTTGGGGGTTTTTGTTAGACAAAGGGGGAGAGACTTTACCATATCATCAAAGTGACAAAACCTATTTAGGAATGCACCATCCTATTGGACATGTTCACAAAGCTAACAAAATTTCACAAGACATATGGATTTCATTTAACTTTTGATTTACAGAAAACAATAGTATAGAAAAATAACACCAAATCTTATACATAAAGTTTAGACTGGCATATCTCCTGTGCTCATTTATAAATTGATAGTTATGCACACACCACTATCAAAGATGTGATGAGTAGAAGTGTATGATTGATGATTAAGGTGATGGTTCTCATGAGTGATGCAAGAATTAGAGTTGTTGATTTGTGGAAACCGAGTTGTAATTGCAGATTTTTAATATCTGGAACATTGTTAAATTTTGTGTGCTAACTGGACACTAAAAAATTGTTTTTTTCTTTTTCCTTATTAACTGATGTTGCAGTTTTTGTAATCAGTGTTTGTCTCAATAACAGTCCAGATCAGCATCTTTCATAGAACAATACAGAACAATTTTTCATATGTTGGATCTAATAGAACCTACTTATCAGAAAGCTGCACTGAAGATGGCAGCTTCCTGATGGGTGTTAATTTGATCATTTTCTCTTTCACTTAAAAATACTTTTATTTTATGATGTTTGTCTTTGTGTCGATTTGTATAACTTGACTCTACAAAATGCAAGTAAATTAAGTAAAACCTAATAATTACTTAATGGTATATTTTTAAATCCTAGAGACACTGAAATCTTGTTACAACTATAGTACTGCCAAACAAATTGTATTTTTTGTTCATAAAATTACTGATGAATTCTGTATAAATATTTCATTCTTTTTAAAGCAAATGTTGTATAGTTGTAAAAAAAACTTAAAAGTAAGTACAGTAGCACATCGATTATCCGACTCAATTGGGGACTGGGGTTGGTCAGATAACTGAAAAAACGGATAACCGAAAAATATGAAAAAATACATTATTAGTATAGTATATTAGTATATCCCATGTAATTAGTACTGTATATTAGTATATTGCTATTAACCGACTTTGCGTTGAATTTTCATCAATGTTAAGCCTAACAAAAATTTTTTAAAATAATAATCGTCGCTATTGTATCGTTAAAAATTAGAAAATTAAACCTCGTTTAAATACTGGCTCCCTTTCATGGTTGAGCCAGTGTTGCCAGCTAAAACACGTAAAAATAATATTAAAGTAGCCAAGACATAGCCAAATATTGTTGTGCCACATCACTAGTGGACATTGGAATTTGCCAACTAGAACACGGTCGGTTAACCGATGTGACGGTTGATCGGGGGTCGGATAATCGATGCTCTATTGTAATTCATTTTTCAATGAAATTTTTGCATAATTTGTTGTTAAGAAATTTCAGACACTAATTTGCAATCAAAATAGAGAGAAATGATCCAAAATGTTCTGTTTCATTGAAATTGCTATAGACTTGACTTTAATGAAATTCATATCTACAGTTTAAATTTAGTTCATACTAACAAAAAATCTAAATATTAGTATTTATATATANATAACTTTTTTTAAATTTTTAATTGAATAGCTATTTCAAATCAGGAAGAATGTCAAAGTACTCCGGCACTAATTCATAGCGGTGATCCCATGATTCAGATTGAGGGACCAGCCCCAAGCAGTAGCCTGACTAATCTGGGCGAAGCATATACTCGACTCAGTGTTTCTCTGGAAGAAAATGGTATTTATCAGGTAAGTATAAATTAGATTTTGTAATGAAAATATTGATTTTTTTTTGTAAAATCTTATTCAGGTGATTCGTTAAATGTAATTCTTAAGAGAATAATTGTAAATGATGGTTTAAATCCAACATTTCTATTACATTTAACTCAGTTCAATTATTAAATGTTACATTTTCACATTTTAAACTACAATATTATATTTAATGATTGCTTATAATCGGTTTGAAAATGTTTTCTTCATTTTTTTGTCTTTAATGTTATAAAATGAAGAAATATTCAATACAGTCAGATGTATAAATTATATTACCATATTGTCAGATACGTTCTACAGATTTGCTATGTAGTATCTGACAGCAAGTCTGAGAAAGATGAAAAAATATTCGTAGTTTTCTCTCTAATGGAATATTTAAGCTAAACTAATCTTAATAACAAATACAAAGTAATAAAACAGAAGATTCAAGGAATTTGATAATCCTGCAATTCACACTTGGCTTGGTGCCCCACCAGTCCATGGCATTATCAAGTTTGTAGCACTGCCAGATTCCTTACACTTCATTTTGTGAGTTTTGCTTTCACTTGCTGATTCAATACAAACCAATATTGCTTGACTTTTTTGATTATATTTGTTATTTTAATTAAAAATTATTACAGTAATACCTCGACTTACACTACCCTGACTTATGCAAACCCAGAGTTACGCAATTTTCAAATCTTGCTGATTCGTCTTTTGTTTGAGCGCCACACAACTCTTAATTACTCACTCCCCTCACACTACTGTTCAGCTTACATGTTCAGAAATGTCACGTGGAATCAACGTATAGCTACAATTTATTTTGTGTTATTTATTTCTGTGTTTGTTTTATCTATGGAGACTTGAGAGACTCTACTATGTCATTCAAACAAAGTAGAACTGATTCTTCTGCATCAAACAAGAAAAGAAAAACTTTATCTTTGGAATGTAAGTTAACATTATTAAAGACTTCAATACAAAAATGAAAATTTGTGAATTGGCAAAGAAGTTTGATCTACCAGAATTGTCGGTCAGAACAATTATAAAAGGTAAAGAAAAAATTCTCGAAGCTGCGAAAAATGCTCAATCTTTAAATTCAAGCATCATCCATAAACGTCACAGTATTATCGCTGAGATGGAAACAATGTTAAAATTATGGTGTGATAAACAAGTAATTGTGAAAAATTTTATAATAATATAATATGTTATAAATATGTATTATCTAAGATTTTATTAAACATTTTTTTCTAAATTATTGCTTTCTTTAGTCTCCGGNACAACATTTGGTTTATTTTTGGCAGTTTTAAAATTTATGAATTAACAAAATTCTGGTAACTGTGCAAATGAACAAAACTCTATGAATAGATATAAAATTCAAATGAGAAGCATGGCATTCTTTTTAAATAATTTTTATCTATCTTGAACTGTTAGTTTTTATGCAATATTATGTATATTATGAAAAAACTGGGTTGAAGTAGTTTTATCTGGATGTCATTTACTCTCCCAAAATCCATAAACATGTATATATGAATAGACCATTCTTATAAATTAAATTGGTAACCATATGAATCCTTAGGAATGAAATAAACAGTTTGATTTAATACATTCAATGTACATTTATCTCTTATGGTCTTGTTGATATAATCTGAAGCACCACTCAAACTGTTCTTTGTTATATTTTATTTCAAATAGAAATTATTTATTTTTGACATTATCTAAAGTTTGCAGACAAGTTCTTTACTTGTATTCAAACTTTCATGCTCCCTAAGATTGTTGCCAAATGTCTTTTTGTCAAATCATTAAAGTTGATATTTTTGAAAAGATTTTACAATTAGTGTTAATTTTGTTGAATTTTACCTATTTTTATTAATTATACTTCCTAAATAAATTTTTTTAGATTTCCTCTCCCTCACTCTCACATTTAGCATTGGATGAATTGAAAGCTGTTAATAGATATGCAGAAAGCACTAAGTCATTGACATTCTTGCCACAAGTTCATGAACGTCAGGCAGCTAGAATGCGAACTCGCTCAGAATGGTTTCTAAATCCTTCTCTTTGTTCGTCTCTTATTCCTGCTGTTGATGCTGATGAAACTGGTTCTGTAGTTTGTAAGGTACTTAAAATATTTCTTGAAATTATTTTAATTCATTTAATTTTTGATAGTCATAATTATATTTGAAAATATTTGCTTTAGATTTTAAACTTGGATGAGAATAAATGCCCATCGGCATCGTCAAGTGTGTCACTAAATTCAAACATCCCCTCAGGAGGAATTGAAAGAGAACGTCAACTTATACGTCGGACTTCTAGCAAAGAAAAGAAATTAGTGAGGAGATCATCTAGCAAAAAACAAGATAAAGAAAATGGGAACAATTATACGAGCAGCAAACATGGAAGTTCACATTACGGTTTGCCTTCGTCGAGTGGCATATCATATGAAGGGAAATTACAAACCACTGCCAGTCCTAAAAGAGGAACAAGTGGAACCAGTTCTCCCGGGATCACAGAACAAGACTGCACCGAAGTAGATGTACAAACTTTTCACGTAACTCTTACATACAAACCTCGAATATAAATATTATTTGGTCAAATTTTTTTATATACAAATTTACCATAAATTACGTGCTGCTAGTATTTGCGAAGAATTTTTACATAAGTGTTTTGATCAGTTTTTGTTTTCCCCAAAAACTGAATTCATATTACATTTGATTGAAATCATACCCAATATTTTAAAATAACTTTTTGTATTAAAACAGAACTTTTTTTGCCTGAAGGGGAAATATAATTTATCTGATTACTTTTGTTAAATTTAGCTTTACAAATACATTTTAAAAAATTAACTAGTTCTGATCGAACACCTTTTTGTGCAAAAATTATTTTAAATTTTGAATAGTTAACTTAAATAAAATCTCTGTAAATTGTCTTTTTAGAAAATTAAAATTACATTCCACTAAATAAATACCTTTTTCGAACCTGCAGAAGTGCACGGAAAATTGAACAGATCAGTCAAATGACAGTTTTGGTAAACAGAAATTTCGTTGATTCATTTGTCCAGCTTTTTTATGATGTACAATGTATACAGTATTTTAAACTTTAATATTCTACTTCATATACAGTATATATATATGCAATAAAATTATACGTGGTGAGTTGTTTCACATAAAGAAAAAAAGGAAAAAAAAAACACCAATTNATATGAATGATTTTTTATGACATGGAAAAATGTGATGAGAAGGATAGGTCTGTTTCAGAACGATCCTAGATTAACAGAACGAAAGCAACAGCAGGCACTGGAGAGCTCCTTTTACATTCCTTGTAATCACGGATGACGAGAAAATCCTTTCCTGCCTCCTCATCCCACAACTTACTTCATAAAAGAAGAGAGAAATACCCAATGACAAAAGAAAGAAGATTGTAGCACAAAGAAAATTTCAAAAAAGTTACTGGCCTGGTTTACAATCAGATTATATGTATTTTTCATTTTTCAGAAATTTGTTTTTACAGCCGCTTTATTAAAAGTTTATACTTCGATACATTGTGTATACTATGAACTAGACAAGTGAAAAAATAAATGTTAATATGCTTATCTCTAAATAAACAGATATAAAAATGTAGAATTTTTATATTTGTCAACAAATTGTAAGAACAAAGTGCAATTTGTTCTTACCTTATATCAGTTGGAAATTTATGGAAGTCAAATTACTTCATAGTTTGAATAATTAGACACTCATAAATTTTCTTGGTTAACATAATAGATTCATCCCTTAAAAATGTTAACTTTTCCATACAGCACTTTTTTCAGATTCATATTATACTGGTAAAAAGGTGTGTAATACAAAAACTGCCCTTAATTAATGAATTGTATTAAACAAAAGTACATTAACCAAGGACTGTATTTCCAAAGACATTCTGAGAGCACTGTCATTTGATTTTGTAAAAAGCTTTACAACTGTAGCTGTAAAATTAAAGTATATCTGCTTAAAGACTTGTTTTAAATCGTCTGGATGGCCACATTTTAGAATAATCAGGTTTTGATTTTAGCAATTGAATTAATCAAATATTAAATGATATTCATTGAGGCATGTGTAGAAAATATTCTCTCTTGCTTCCCCCAAACTTTGTATAAAGTGTCAATATTTTTCCCTTGAGTAAGAAAATAATGGAATAAAATACAAATTCTGTTTATGGATATTTTTAAATGATTAGATTAAGATTGGGATATGCTTTCTTATGGAGTAATAACAGTAAAAATAATTTCAATACAGGAAAAACAAATTTGTTAAATTAACTGCATGCCACTGATTTTGAATCAATATATATTATACATAAGAGAGGTATGTTTTTGATGCAATGTCAAACTCCAACAATCTTTATGTACTAGGTCATCTTGTAAATGAACTCTAGTTGGATAAGATAACAGCACAACAAGCTAGCTTTGATACAAGAAAATATTATTTAAAATTTAGTTTTTCATCTTGATTCATTCATAAAAATTTTCAACTAGTATTTCCAGCTCCTGCATTGTTTAATTTCTGCAGATCACCAATTAAGCAGTATCTGAGATGACAGAATATTAAATGCTGTTTTTCCATTCAGAATTATGGTTGTCTAATCACAAGTTAGGAGGGGTTAGTGGAAGGAAGGGCATTTTGCCATTAAAAAATCTGTTTATGCTGCTTGCTGTGTCTATTCTCTAATCTGAAAATGACTATTCAACATCTTTATTGTCATGATTTAAGATACTTAAATGTGTGATTCCACAAAGTGCATATGAGCATATTTCTCCCATCCTGTACATGCTAAGAAGATTTTTATTTGTGCTTGTCATAAGTTTTGAAGACTCAACATATCCAGGAATGATCACCCATAAAAAATTCCTGAGGTTGGTTGCCATTAATGGATTCTGGGACCTCAGAGCAGTAGTAGATTGATGACAAGTCTTGACCATTGACCATCGCGCTCTCTTCTCGACGTCTTTCGGAAGCACCCGAATCACTGGAACCGAAGAAGACGAGGCGCTTTCCTCCTGCTTATCGACCGAGCTGTGCCACTCTTTTAATTCCTTGAAATAATCCATTCTGCAAAAGAGAAACGACTTCAGTAGAGCGTCGATTATCCGAATCAATTGGGGACGTTGTTCGGAAAATTGATTTTTAGGATAACCGATTATGTACGAAAAAATACATTATTAATAGAGTATATCCCAATAATAGTATATTAATATATCTCGTGTTTAAATTTTTCTCCGTTATGTGTCATTCGCGTTGAATTTTCGTTGATGATAAGCCTAACGAAAATTTTTTTTTAATACCGTAATAATCGTGGCTATCGTATCGTTAAAAATTATCTATTTTGTATAAAATAAATAAATATATTGAAAAATATAAAAACAAGAAAAATTATACTTTAGAAGTTAATCTAGTATCAAAAACGTTCGATTCAGCACAATACAGTCAGACTGGAACGCTTTCGGTTAACCGACGTTTCTGTTGATCGGCGTTCAATTGTATTAGTGAAAATGTAACTTGTATTCGTTAACAGGGCCGGATCATCGCATAGACAAATGAGACAAATGTCTAGGGTCCTGTTTTTAGAAGGGCCCAGTCAAACTATTTTGAAAAGATTTGTAAATAAGATAGTTTACTTTTCTGTTGGACAACTGTATAATACTGGTAAAATGTTATATTATTTAAATATTAACCAAAAAGGTTAAATTAAACAAGTAAAACGGCAAAACCGTATTTGGGACACGACTATGTCTCGGAGACACTACTAAGCGGAATCACTTTCACGCTCAAAGCGGATCTTGTTCTCATTCTCCAATCTTCTTTGATATCGCTGCTTTTGGGCGCGATCGTTCAAACTTCTCCGGCCACGACCACGAGGTCGTCCACGATGCATTTTCGGTTAAATTAACCTATCCAATTTCGAAATTTCTCTTCGTTGCAACTCGTCGGCCCGGGTTGAATTTTTGTCGATGCTTAACGAAAATTTCCCGTTTTTGAAAAAAATAATCGTGGCTATTGTATCGTCCGAAATTATTTTTTTATTTTGCACAAACAATATGCAGTTTAACCCGATTATAACGTCAACGGATGTAACGACAACCCTAATATAACGTCAAATTTTTATCGGTCCCACGATTTTACTATACTAGGTAATGTTAAAAAAAAAACCTTCTTGTAACGACATACGAGGGTAGTCCCAGAAGTACCCGACCTAACAAAGAAGACACACAAAATTTGGTAAAACATATCTTTATTTTTCAACATAGTCTCCTTTTAGCTCGATACACTTTTTCCAGCAATGTACAATAGCTTCGATCCCCTGTTTATAGTGAGAACTGTAGGGTTTCTCAAAATAGCCATCAACCGCAGACTCCACCTCTTCATTGTTGGCAAATCTTTTATCACCAAGCCATTTTTTTAAGTTTGGAAAGAGAAAATAATCCGAGGGGGCTAAATCTGGCGAATAGGGTGCGTGAGGAAGCAATTTGAACCTTAACGCATTGATTTTGGCCATCGCAATAACGGATGTGTGAACTGCGTTGTCTTGATAAAACAACACTTTCTTTTTCGCCAAATGTGGCCGTTTTTTTTCTTGATTTCATCACTCAAGCGCTGCAATAAGTTCGCATAATACTTGCCGTTGATTGTTTTTCCTGGGCGCATCCCAAAAAACTGACGCCATGACCTTGCCAGCAGATGGAACTGTTTTCGCCTTCTTTGGAGCTGATTCTCCCCTTTCAGTCCATTGTTTCGACTGTTCTTTCGTCTCAGGTGTGAAGTGATGGACCCATGTTTCATCCATGGTTATGAATCGACGCAAAAACTCGGCTTTGTTGCTGCGAAACATTGCCAAAGACTCGATTGAAACATCCTCACGACGCTGTTTTTGTCCCATTGTGAGCAAACGCGGCACCCATCTTGCGCACAGCTTTCTCATGTCCAAATTTTCAGTTAAAATGCGATGTACAGCACTTTTTGAAATGCCTACCATGTCTGCTAGCTCTCGCACTTTGAGTTGACTGTCATCCAATACCATTTTGTGGATTTTTTCCACCATTTCTGGCATGGTCACCTCACTTGGTCGACCACTACGATGTTCGTCTTGGCAGCTCGTACGGCCTCGTTTAAACTCTGCCACCCAATATTTTATTGCTGTAAACGAGGGAGCACACTCCCCCAGAGTAGAATCTAGCTCAGCTTTAATATTGGTTGGACTGAAACCTTTCAGATGAAAGTATTGTATCACATAACGATGACACATTTTTTCCATGTTTACAAATTCACTGAGATTGTTCACTATTTATGGCTGCCAAAAAATACTATACAACGTAACGTCTTCAAACTTCAAACTTAAGCTTTATAAGGTTGATACTTTCCAACACATTCGTTTTTTTTCAAACAAGTACCGCCATCTATGTCAGGTCGTGTACTTCTGGGACGACCCTCGTAAAACCCTGTTTTAATGTCATATTTGAAGCACTCCTAAATTTACAAAATTAGATTACAAATTTTATTTAACAAAGAAAATACTATGTGTTCAGTCCTAGGGTCAGAGTTCACTTCTTAGAACGACTGTGTGTGGTACTCTCACTACCTGACTTCGGTTTGCCTGTTTGTAGAGAGAGTCGCGATTTTGTATTTTATTTTGACTCGGTTCTCGGTCCCTTGAGTATCTACAAGTCTGGTTTTTTTTATGCGCGCATGATTTGGGCACTTAATACTTTGTGCCAAATTGCAAATCTTGACATGTACTCCTTCATACCTCTAAGCTAGTAACACAGCAGGCATACGATTTTATAAACAAGACATAGTCTTGTTGACAATTAATATTTTAAGATAATATTGTTATTGTATAACAACTTTTGTTAGACATTTAATAAAATAAATTTCAATTTTTTAAATTTATAAACAACTTCAAACTTTTCTAGAAAAACTAAAATTTATTGTTGTGCATTAAATATTTTTTATTAATAAAAATTTAAGATTTGCTTTAGTTTTTCATATTATTTAGTTTTGCTTTATTTATTATTTTATATTTTTTGTGTGCTCTATTTCTTGTGAGAGGGGAAGGGGGCCCAGTAAGAAGAAAATGTCTAGGGCCCCAAAGTGGGTTAATCCTGCCCTGTTCGTTAAAAGAACATTCGTTTTGTTAATTTAATTTCATATAAATTGTAAGATTTCTAATGAAGAAATAATTTTAAAAATATGATAGATGATCGTTTTAATTATAACAAAAAGTCGCAAATCAATACTATAATAAAATCGCCATTGAAAAGTTAAAAATTATTAAATATAGTAATTTTAATGTTCAATATATAATTTGATAAATCACTTTCTACAAATTATACAATTCTGTCCATTGCCATAACACATTGTTTGTGAAAATAGAGAAAACGCGCTGACGAATAACTTGAAATTATTCTATTTAAAGTTTAGACCAGGCCTGACCAACCCAAATTGTTTCGCGGGCCACTTTGATCACGCGCAACATTATGGTGGTCCACAATTTAGGCAAACATGCTTTTAAAAAAATAAAACAAATACAAAATGAATAAGATTTTATTGTTATACCTAGAATTCGTACTCGCACTTGCTCTTTATAACAATGACACATGCAAATTTTCATTTATTTAATTGTTTTGGTATACACATAACGGGAAACAAAAGTTTTAATATATATATAATATCGCTTAGCGGGTCACACAATTTAACGCGACGGGCCGTGGGTTGGCCAGGCCTAGTTTAGACCATAACGGTGCAAATTTCATGTGGGATATGATGTGTATACAAACTATAAACTATTACCAATGTAATGTATTTATTAATTTCGATTTTGCTTTAACAGTTCCAATGGATTTGGCTGTAACGAAAATTAACAATAAGAGCGAAAAATATCTCCCAAAATAAGTGGAAAGACCCCCATTCGTCGTCTTTGTGAAGAAACCGCGTGATGACCGGTCAATTGTTATGGAAATAACAATGATTTTCCGGCAAATCTCTAAGCCGAATATCATAATTAGTGTTAATGTTCAAAAATACCCAAATTACTCTGACAATTTATTACTGAGTATATACAGAGTTTTATTGCTGCGTTACCACAAAATTTAATATTAAAAGTTTGGCCGAATTGCGTAATTTCCGCGGACCTTTCCTTGCATATATTCGTACATTAATGTTAACGTCAACATGTATGCAAAAACCTAATATTCTCGTATAAAGATGAATAAAAATTTCGATTTTATCATGACCCTTGCAATCGAAAAAAGAATAAACTTCAAGTATAGTAACCCCAATAATCAGTGGCGTGCCCTCATTAGAAGCGGTGGATGCGCCGCTTCCCTTGTATTTGCTAAAAAATAAATACATATTAATTTTAATTATATGAAAATAATCGCACAATATTTTATTATAACCGCATTATGTATCTTATTACAAATTTCTATACTACACGTGAAAAAAAAAAGATAAGATTGCTATTGTATATTCAAATATTAGTGGCGGAGTGGAAGCGCTGTATTATCACCATTTAAAAAGTCAGATTCGCGCACGCGCTTTACAGAGCACCAACCTCACCCGGTTTAGCTGGTGGAAGCCTCGGACCTCGGGTGGATGCTACACGTATACCGCATCCAATTCTATCCGGGACCGGTTCTGGGCTGTTAGCCGCCCGCCCGCTAGATATTTGGCCG